TAGAAAAATTGTATTTCTGCCGTTTCGCAACTTAATTTAGGCCTCCTCTTCAGAATAAATAAATAATCGAAATTGAAATGAATACCAGTTTCAATAGTACAAAGAAGTAGCTTACATGAAGTATACAATGTAATTGTAAAGTTGAAATTGATCAATATAGAAATGTAATTATTATAGAGGTTGATGAAGATGCCTTTAATTTCATAATTAACATCACGTAATGATGTTAGTTGAACAACTACTAAAAACTAGTAGATACCAGTATGAGATTTCTTAGAAGTGGGTATTTATGTTCTAGTTACCAGGGATTGAGTCAAATACTTTATGGATGTCAATTCAATTATCTGGAGGTTAGGCATTTAAGCGAGATCGAAGACATTGAGCTCGATTCCTATTGATAAGATCATGGAAGGGTCTTATACTAGGAAGAAGTGACTGTATAGTACTTCTTAGTTTTTAATGATTATTTTGTGATATTAACAATGAAATAAATAAGTAAACTGTTCTTGTTTAGATTTATAATTGTCTCCTTGGTTGTTACAAAGTAAAGAGATTTTATGAATATTCTCTGAAATAAAAGAACTTTATCATAATAGATCATTGTTCCATTACGGAAGCTCCATAATAATCACATGAACGTTAACATACTGACAACGTATACGGCATTAGTGAAGAAAAAAAAGGATCGAATAAACATTTCATACACATAGTTCAGTCTATTTTTATGTTTATGAACAGTTTAAAATATACAGTCACTGCCAGGTTAGTCCTACTCGCTACCTTCTCGCGAAATTACTGTTGTTTATGTAATCGATAGGATGAAAAGAGAATGCGTGGCTGCATAACCGATTTGGTAGATACGAAGAGCCCGCCTAGGGCAGTCGGAAAACCCTTATTCTAAAACAATAGTGCACATGGAATCCAGTCTCCTGAAGGTACAAATCACGTATGAACTTATCGTTGGTCACCGGCTACCATTGCACTGCATCTTCTGATGTTTTTCTACTGCTTTGTAGATCAGACCTGTAGGTTGAAGGCTCCAAGTGTGCCCTTCCCCTATTAAAAAACTATCTGCTTCATTTTGAACGCTCGAGCAGTATCCCAGCTTACTGTAGTGTCAGTTATTATTTTAAGCCCATATACCTAAATTCTAGTTTTTGGACGAAGCATTCTATTCATTCTACTTGAGTCATATTTTGACCTTGTCAATTATTCGCTTATTAGTCTTGACTGTTTTTATATGGGCGTATATGTGTGTACACATCATATCCCATGGCTCACTGCATATCTGTAGCTTTATTCTGTCTGCCTATCAATATTGAGTAACGCTTGACTAAAATGGAGTTGGCTTCCTAGCCATCTTCCCTGCGTATCATTTAAGTCGACGATGATATACGAGAATAGGCGATAGCAAACATCCATACGATCTAAATAGGAGTCAAATCCACGGGCCACTAAAATACACACAAATCAAGTGACTTATATGATACATATGTATTCGTTGCCTCTTCGTATCAATATTTATATGGTCAAATTAACAAACCTCACTAATATTTGTTTGATTAACTATGTGAAATATAAAAGATGATTGATTTGTACTAATCTTTGTAATCAGTTTGCCAATATTTCATTAACCATAATTTATCACTATGACATAACTATTTAAGCTTATCTTTTAAACATATTTAAAGCAAACAATGACTATTCATTTTCTACAATGGATTATAGAGACAAACTTAATATAGACCATTATCAAATGAGTTAACAATTAGACTCTCATATGTCGATGAATTAATTGGCTTGTTTTTCCTTTTTTAGTTCATATATTTGTATTTTGTGCGTGTGTGTGCGTGTGTGTGTGTGCAGGATAATTGTTTTATTCCCAACTGCCCTCCCCCCGCCCCGAAACACACAACACTCATGTTACCTCTAGTTGCTTTTTTCTCTCGTTTTTTTTCCTTTTCCCTATTCTTGTTGTTGTCCTTTTTTACCATATAACAACTAATCACAAATTCAATTAAAATTTTAATTTAATTTTCAAGTATTTAAAATAAACAAATAAAATGAGATGGTAATTGTGACAATGACATAATGACAATTATATATTGAATGTCATTACATGATTAATCTCATCATTTATTCTTGTATGAATGTATTATTATTCTTCCTATTATCAAGTCACTCAATAAGGGTCTGATGTGAGCTACTTATATCCACATTAGTAGTATATAACAATGGTCAGGCATAGAATATCTTTCAATAGAAGATTGAGAAAGAAAGAAAGAAAGAGAGTGAAATGCAATTGACATATGAAAATGCATGAAACTATGCAATCTGAGACGATGGATTGATATTTACAAAAGAAACAGTCAAGTTTGAGATAATGGATTGACACATTGGCAAATTAACTATTCACTGTATCATTCTCAGATTTTCATGAGATGCACTGTAATTTCATTTTCAAGTACCTTTGATTGTCACCACTTGTGTTCTTGTTCACTACAAGAGTAAAAGATAAACATTCATCATTCTCTATTGTCAAACACAGATATGATTGTAACCAACTATAAAATTGATCTTAGTTTGGATTTTGTGGTGTTGTACAAAAGGTGTAAAAGGGTGTATACTATTGTTAATTAAAGCTTTAACTATATGAAAATTTAAATCCTCCCATCGGTTTATTCAACTAACATAGTGATCTAGCTTCAATTGACTCATGATTTCAACTATTGAAACTGCTGTAATATCCACAAAATGACCCTTTTGATAATAATCAGCATATGCTCACTAATGATTGGCTTCAACAAGTATTTCCTAGAATCCTAGTGAGAAGCAGTGATCAGTGGAGTTCAAATGGGTCTGTTGTGAGATAGTAACTTATTGATGACAATGGTGGATGTGTTACTCAATTTCTTGGATTAGTTGAAGTTAGACATTAACGGCGTTGGATGCCGGCCGACTCAGTGGTCTATAGGTTAAACTTTCATACACGAGACCTATAGTTCCTGAGTTTTAGTTCTGCGGGTCGGGATCATGGATGCGCACTGCTGATGAGTCTCGTACTAGGACAAAACGGCCATCCTGTGCTTCTAGATTTTTCATAATGGTCTAGCTTCAATTGACTCATGATCTTAACTATTGTAATTACTATAATATCCACAAAACCTCTTTCTGAAATTAACAGTTTTTTGTCACCCTAAACCTACCCGGGTAAGGTTAGCTGATTATCCAGTGTGATAAGGTTTCAAACTGTTTTCACATTATTATTTTCTTTTTTATCCTTGTCCGCACTTACCTTCTATTTCTAGCCTTGTTCACCTTCCATTTTTATATATAAATTTTCTTAACACATATATTATGTGTGATCAGATTGTTCGAAATGCGTTACACTAATATATCATCATATCGTCATGATACTCTTCGTCTTCTTATTACGTAATCGAAATATTTTGGTCAATTGTCTATTTGAACATGAAATAGTGTGTAAATAAAAACGACTTAGAACACAGTTTATCCAAATCTGTCCTCCAATCGACCATATGAACTTATTTGCATTCAAATAACACAAGTCATTTGATTTGTGTATGGGCTAGGATACTGCCCGGGTGCCCAGACCGAAGCAGGTGGTTTTCTGTGGAAGCCACATCCGCAGCATTCGACCTCAATGTGTAATCCAGAAAACAGTGAAGCAATGTCAGGAGATGCAGCCCCATGGTGGATGATGACCAACTATTGGTTCATACGCCATTTGTTCCCTCAGGATACTGGAGTCCATGTGGACGATTGGTTTGAAACCAAGGTTTTCCAACTCCCCTATGTGAATCCTCCACACTCCTGGTGTGAGAAGGCAGTGAGTAGGACTTCCCTGTCACTGGTTGTATGCACGTGGCCATGTGGGAGCAATTTGAGAGGGAGGGTTGACTCTCCCCACTTTCGGCCGTACCAGAGTATTTGGGTGCCAGATTAAAACTATGGGTACTACTAATCCTAATTACACACAGAAATACTTTGAATACAGTTTCCTAAACGTTTACTGTAGCCAGATTTCTTGCACAATGTGAATATCGTTAAATCATTGAGTTTTCTAGAATTTGTAGGTATGTCTGACTTATGATCACTCATTTGTTCGATATCCACCTCAGACTAAACTGTATCACACCAAGAATATAATATTGCATAAGGTTACTTTATTTTAATTGAACTTTTAAGAGAAGACTACTGTAAATGTGTTACCTAACTAGAGGCAAATAATTATGAGGACATTTTGGTGGAGTTTTGTTCTCTGAGCTGAATGGTTTGGTCGTGGAGCTTTCATCGTTCTTCCGAACGACATCATCAGCACAGAAGAACGATGAAAGCCCCACGACCAAACCCTCCAGCTCAGAGAACAAAACTCGACAAAAATCACCCACCTGAGCTACAAATCTTCACCATCTCAAAATTATGAGGACACCATATTTTTTTAGTTTACATCATGAAGTGAATTTACATATTAAACTATTGCAATCAAGAGAAAGATGAATGGTTGTTTCATGATGTAGGTGTATACTCACAACATTCCAAATGAATAAATCAAAAGGGGTGTATTTCCCTTCAAATTACATAGATAACTATCAAATCAAATCACTTTATATTGTACAACTATCATTAATTTTCATCACTAATTCTATTTGCTCACCTGTCATATCACAACTCCACTTATCATAGATTCTCACAAACACATGTTGACATGGTGACTTAAATCTTATTCACCCCCTATCCTCATACCTGTCCTTTATATATCATGACACAATCACACACACACACACATATATATATATACATATATTCATTCCATTAGCATGATTTCTATGGATAAGCAATTTCCAACTATCAGAAATCAACTTGTAACTTTCTCTTCTAATCAGTAGAATTAAATTGAAAGACTCGAAGATAATACGATGGTGATAGGGAGTGGTGGGGGTGGTGGTGGTGGTGCTGGTGGAATGAGGGTGGATTATTATTGTCATGGTAAATATTAACGTGATTCAAAGAATTAATTTTTCTTGTATTAAATTATTTCTCTGTTTATATTGTGAAGGATAAATTCAACTAAACAAATATCCCTACAAATTTCTGTGTTATATAATATGTACATTTGTATATTTTAACATTAACATATTTCAATAATACAAGGGGGGGGGCGAATAGAAGATTATTGAATGAAAGGGAGAGTTTATAAAAGAGGGGAAGATTAATTCAATTAAATAAAACAATAAACTGAATTTGTAACCGATTACATGATAGTCAATTATTGAGGAATCATTAAACTTATGTTGAATAACTACTGATTATGTAAGTAATATGTGTGTACATTTTTGCATAAAGTTTCATGTTATGTTCATGAATTTTCTGTGTTAGTTTAGTGAGAAGCAGTGATCAGTGGAGTTAAACCGGGTCTATTGTGAGATAGTAACTCATTGAAGACAATGGTGGATGTGTTGCTCAATTTCGTGGATTAGTTGAAGTTAAACATTAACAGCATTGGATAGCGGCTGACTCAGTGGCTTAGAGGTTAAGTGTTCATGTGCGAGATCGACAGCTCCTGAGTTCAAATCTCTCAGGGTCCCATACTAGGACAAAACGGTCATCCGGTGTTTCCAGGATTCCTATGGTGGTCTAGCTTCAATGGACTCATGAATTCAACTATTAAATTATGTTAATGAGTTGATAGATTTCTATGTTAGTCTTTAAGTCATTAGCATAAAACGTTTTCCGTGCTACTTGGCACTCGTCAGCAAGGTGTACCTGTAATCTTGAGGGAACTGGTGCTCCCTAGCGGATTCGATCCCATGTCACCCAGCTTCACAGTCAGAGACGTTACCACTGAGCTATCCGGGCCGCGACTGACCTCCTGTAGGACTGAGATGTAATCACATTTGATTGATCACTGAATTATTCAATATAATAAGTAAATTTAAACATTCGAGACAGAATTTTCATGATATTTTGAAAATTTTATCTCGAATGTTGAAATTTACTCATTGTATTGAATAATTCAAGTTTTTTCAGATTGATTAGGAGCTTCATTTTCTTAGATGTTAATAATGACTGTCCATTATTTATACTTAAGACAGCCATCCTCTTCAATGTACTCTTAAGGGCTAATTGAATCTACCCGTTGTAGATTTCAAGGAGTGAAATTCATCAATGTTGTTTGGCAAATGTTCTATGCGAATTGCTTTGATTTTACTACTGAGTCGCAAGCATTTTAGACAGAGTTGGATAGTAGCTAGCTTTGGTGTCCGAGAGGCACATTTTTTTCTATTTGAGACTCGAACCTAGGACCTTTCACTTTAAACGTTGAACGCGAAAGATCAATCGTTTCCCTCTAGTCGTTCTTGGTTTTCAGTAATGATCTAAGTAAAACCAGTCTGTGTAAACTGTGAAAATTTTACAATCTAATGAAAAGCACCATATTAACATTCGGATATATTAAGGTTTGGGCATGGCTGTTTAAAGTAGGGACAATATATTTCTGTACGTATAAAGGAAAGTTAACTTTGTTAGGCAGTTTGAAGTAAACAATAGAAAATTTATGGGTAAAACTTCTCACAGACTAAGGAAAACCTTTATGACAAATTCTATGTCGAACTTTAAAAGGTTCTTTTAAATCAATCCGATGAATTCCATCGAATCTCTACAGAACTATAGAGTAGCCTATTTGTCTACTACATTCATTTATCCTCTGTTTGTTAGTTTAGCTGAATACGATAGCATTTCAGTAGATATTCCATCGCCTGTTTTATTTGACTAAGTTTCTGTCTGTAAGTGATAATTATTTTCAATAGTAGTAGTTGTGTAGTGATCAAGAACACAAGTGGGGACAATCAAATGTACAGAGCATCTCACAAAAATCTGAGAACTATATAGTAAGTAGTTAATTTGAAGGGGGTTTTGTGAAGATTTTAGTAATTTAATAGTTGAATTCATGAGCCAATTAAAGCTAGACCACCAAGGAAAATCTAGAAGCACTGGACGGCTGTTTCGTTCTAGCAGTACAGATCTACGACCCACCCCGCGAGATTCGAACCCGGGACCTATTGGTCTCGCGTGTGAACGCTTAACCTCTAGATCATTGAACAGGCATCCAACAGTGTTAATGTCTAACTTCAACCAATCCACTAAATTGTGCCAACAATCTCTTGTCTTCAATGCTAAACTTATTGTAACTAATTGAAAAAAAAGCCAGATCGTTCTTCTATTCTGTGTACAGTTACTGTTGATGAAAATGTCTGAGATTAGTACTGAAATTCGGTTAGTTACGTGTTAAAACATTTGAAGAATCGTTTAGTAAAAAACGAGATTCGACTTGAGTATACATAAATACATTTCAATAAACATCTTTTGAAAACAAAGCAATAATGAGTCATATATTACTATTAAGCAATTAAGTAATCTAAATAGTAATTGAATTTATTAAACATGTTCTTCAGTGTGATACAACTGAAGGACTTAAGTAACATACCACTTAAAATCTTTTTTACTAACTACATACAATTTGACAGTTTCAAAGTTTTTTATTGTGAGGACGGCCCACAGGTGTACACAAGGAAGCTCTAAGAAGGTCAGAAAGAGTCAAAGGCATTCCATATAATCATCTTTTGGAGGAACATTCCAGAATCTCGACGTATAACTTACTTATTGGATAAATACTAATAACCTCCTATATGCGGATTAAAAGACTATAATGATGATTTCGTTTTCACTAAAAAGTATAAATGCCTGACAGTTTTGTATCATATTCGACACTGTTTTGAAATAACATTCCTTTCATTTGTCTTCTGTCTTCTCATTTGCGACGTGGAGAGTACTAGCATTAGAGTACTTAAGTTATACGCAGTGTATCAAAGAACCCAAGCTCTAGATATATCATCTATATCTCATCATCATCATCATTATCATTTTATTGGTTAAATGTGAATAGAAGCCAATCTTTCAATTTTCTTCAAAGAGAAATTTATACGAAAACAACTGGATATTAAATTCACTTGGTGTTATTGTTTACTTGTATCTTCCCATTAATGTTTAGGACTGAGATTGATCAGTCTCATGTTGGTATGTGTGAATTCTGTGCGGATTGCCTCAATATTGTCTTAATTCACAAGCATTATAAGGAATGATAGATAGTGGCTATTAGTGGAATCCAGGACGCTCGATTCATCCTATTTAGGACTCATCAGATGAATGTAAATGCATCTCATAGTTGATGTTCACTCTGGGACTCTAACTCAGTACGATTCGCTTCAAATACTATCGAATTATCTACTTAGCTACTGAGTGCTGACAGCAACTGCTTGAGCAATGGGGTGAAGTTTTAAATTCAATTAGTGTTGTTCTATTTGTATCTTCCTATTGTTGTTTAGGACTGTAATTGATCAGTCTCTCTCTCTCACTCTTATTGGCATATGTACACACCAGATATTAGTTTAACGAAAGTTTTTTATTATTGATTATTGATTGAAAAATCTGATAGTGACTATTAGTTAAACATAATAAAAACTTTCTTCCAGATGTTTCTGTTCTCATCTACTACTACTACTACTGCTACTACTACTATTAGTAGTAGTACATAGGGATTAAGGTATATGTTTTTCAATTATGTAAGTTTTATTATGATTAGATTTGTTGTTCTAAGTCCAACTTAATGATAGTCACCACCCATCGTTATCCACATCTTCCTCATTATCACCATGATTATTATCCTATAAATATGTAATATATATTCAGTGGGAATATTTACAAGAAATTTCTCATAGCTTACCAACATAAATGGTCATTGTTATATTGATAAATGAGAATTTCTCCCTCTCTCTCTCTCTCTCGCTTTGTTCTCTTGTGAAATTGATAAATAAATAAAATCCAATTGAATGAATAAAGTAGCTCATTTAAAAAGTCGAACTCTTTTCTCACAAACAATAGATTATTGTATCATTTCAGAAGGGTTTTGTGTGTGTGTGTGTGGATATTATAGTAATTTTAATAAATGAGATGATGAGTCAATTGAAGTTAGATCAACATAGAAAACCTGGAAGCACTGGATGGCTATTTCGTTCTCGTATGGGAATTCTTACCAGTGCGCACCCATGACCCCATACGCGGGACTCGTGGATTCAAATGTTCAAATATTACAATCTTCATAAATCCTCATACAGATAAAAACAATGTGCTTACTAAAGACTAGCTTCAAGATGGATTTCTTGGAGTTCGAGTGAGAAACTGTGACCAATGGAGTCAAATCCGTATCGGTTGGAGACAGTTATTCAACTGAGACAATGTATGAAAGATTGCTCAAGATCATTAATCGATTGAAGTTTGACATCAACACCAATGAATGTCAGCTCAGTGGTCTAAAAGTAAGACATTCGTAAGCGAGACTGAAGATCTTCTGTTCAGTTCTTAAGTGAGCATTGGCGTACTAGAACGAAACGGTCATCTCGTGATTTCAGGTTTTCAATTGTAGTCTAGCATAGATTGACTAATTAATTCAACTGTTAAAATGTTTTTCTTGTTTACATTTAGATCACAATCAGACACAAAAATATCTGACCTTATATTAACAAGCTTAATTTTTTCATTAAGCTTCATTTCATGCCGCAACTCTTCATCTAAGACCTAATCAATATCTTTAAAGTGAATATCTCTCAAAGTTGTTAAAATTACCGGTTGACATTAATTCAAGGAAAATGCCAACAGTCAGCTTTTCTCTCATGTCGATTGTATGAAAAAAAATTCTGCAGAATTAAACTTTCGGAGAATAATTAATAGTTACTCAGTCAATTTGTTAATCAAAGTCATTCCATCTTAGTCTAATTATCTGATCTAGTGGTTAAGCACTCGCGCGCAAGACCAGTAGGTCCTGGATTCGATTCTCGCGAGGCGGGATCGTGGATGCGCACTGCTGAGCAGTCCCACAACAGGACGAAACGGCCGTCAAGTGCCTCCAGGTTTTCTATGGTGGTCTAGCTTCAACTGACTCCCGATCTCAACTATTGAAATATCTGGTTAATACTTGGTAGTTTACAAAGGATATAAATGGAGCCTATGTCAAGTAGGGTTTTCTGAAAATTCTCTATCATCACAAACTAACATCGAACTATAATGTTGATTGACTTAGAATAGTGGCCATATTACGCAAATCGTTCAACAAGATACAATCACTACTGAATGACTAGACAAATATAACATTTGTCAATTCTCAGTGATCAATTTAATTGTAAATAGATTTGAATTGAATGAAGAGACACAAGTACATTGTAGCTACACATAAAATTTATTAAATAGAATCAATTGACAAGATACTTTAGATTATAGCAATTCACCTACAATCAATTTTGATTAGGGTCCTTTGTTATTCGAACGGTAACAATTCGTCTATTTCTTTGTACTATTATGATCACTATCATGTCTATATAAACGTATACACTTGATCACATGCGGTAGCCTACTCATATATATCTCTCTAGCTTAAATGTTGATCGCTTAAATATAGCTCGGTGAGTGATTCTTCTTCCCATATATGCATTCACTTGAATCCTATTAATAGCATTTGCATTGCTTTGCTTAGCCTTTGCCGTTGATTCGATTTGACTATAAATTCACCACGGTAGTTTATCGCACACAGACATTAGTCTCTCTGCTCCAATTCACTCAATGTGCTTGTAACTTTTTTTATATCCGTGCTATCCGTAAACAAACTGTAGTCGCTGCTTCTTATTACCTTCTGAATTCAAACACTGTTGAGATTTATATAATAACGGTTATCAAGGTGATCGATTAACGAAGCTAAGTCACTACAAAGTCAAATGTTTGTTTTCGTTAGTTACCTCTAACCTACTAAAATTGACTTGTGTTTAGGATCTAAGTATTTTGGTAGTAATGACAACCTGTTATTAAGGAGAGGTATAAAACCTTGATAGAACGGAGGATTTTACAAAGTAGTTTGATAATATAAAGTTCACGTTTGAATCATTGAATTACCAAAGTTCTTGGAATGTACAAAACTTCGTTTAGCAATCCGTTTCAACTAATTTCATTGTAACCATGTTTGTAACTGTGAAAGATGGTTCTCATATAAAAACAAAATTGATTAGAATTAACAAAGTGTTCCAAAAATTGAATTGTCAGTTTAATTTTATTATTGTTTTAACAGTAAGTAAAGGTAATTCTTCACATCTATTTGATATTTCCAGTTTCCTGACTTGGAAAATCGATGTGGAGTACTTAGTTACTAAATTATTGGTTGCTCTGGTTGTCAGAAAGGGCATCAGCTTGGTGACTTCCGAAGGAAGTCGGCTTCCATCATGAGACGTCATAACTTTTCTTAATGAAGACATTCTAACTCCCAGGGCAGAGTTTAAATGGTTTGAATTATTATTTCTGGTTAACATTTTTCTAGTGAGTTAGTTTTCTACGGAACGGGGTCACTAACTCTATTCCCAACCCCCCTCCTTTATCCGGGCTTGGGATCGGCGGTAGCTCCAGAGGGCCTCCAGGCGGAGTGGCAGCTAAGTGAATAACGTGATGGCGATTGAAGCAAGTGGTTCTGGGTTCGAGTCCCAGAATGAACATCAACTCTGAGATACAGATATATCCATCTAACGAGTTCCACATAGGACGACACTCGCATCCTGGATTTTACTGCTAGTCATCATCTATGTAGTGTTACTTACTTTATATTTTATTTGTTTTCTTATTTTAGACGGCTGATACATATATTGAACAGGCCTTATTTGACTTCAAAATCAAACAATTATTATTCCTTTAAGATGTTGGCTACTAATGATGTCATTAAATCTCAGTACGATACATTACTAGATAAACAATCAATTAATTCATGGCTTCCATTGCCACATCCATGTGTATTCACATCGAATTGGTCATCTCTTCATTTTGATTTAATTAAAAATTATCCATTATCTTGTTTACATTCAAAACATACATCTGAATCAAATTCTACATTAACACTAAAAGAATCCTGTTTAAATGTTCATAAACTAGGATCTATGTCAAATGAATCAACCTTAAACAATGATCATTATATAGAAGTGAATGAAGATTGTGAAACAGATTCAAATATGATTCAGAATGAAAACAGTACAGTGAGTTACTTTTATGATATTAGTAATATAACCTCATCAACTGATGAGGTGAGTAATTCAAATCAAACAGTATATGAGTAATTGTTTGATTATGTTAGTATCACCACTTAATTTAGTGTTGGAAATCAAAGAATTTGTATTGTGAATAGCAATTTACTTTTGAATTCCTTGTTTAGAACTTTATAATCGATATGTTCCAAGGAACTTTGTGAATAGAAGATCATGATTTTCTTGGCATTCATTCATTCATTACTTACGTCTGTTACTCCTCGTGGAGGAGCATAGGCCGCTCACTACCACTCTCTATCCAACCACGTCCTGGGCAATCCCTTCCACCTCTTTCCAGTTGTTATTCGTCCTTTGCATATCTGCTTTTATTTCCCGACGTAATGTGTTCTTTCGCCTTCCTCTTTTCCACTTCCCTTCAGGATTCCAAGTTAGGGCTTGCCTTCTGATGCAGTTTGATGATTTGCGTGATGCATATGCGATCCACTTCCATCGCCTTTTTTCTAATTTCTTCTTCAGCTAGAAGCTGGTTTGTTCTCTCCCACAGAAGGCTGTCGCTGATGGTATCCTGTCATTGGATGTTGAGTATCTTGCGTAGGCAACTATTTATAAATACTTATACTTTCTTGATTGTGGTTGTTGTAGTTCTCCAAGTTTCAGCTTCATATAGTAGAACTGCCTTGACGTTCGTATTGAAGATTCTCACTTTGATATTGGTTGAAAGTTGTTTTGAGTTCCATATATTCTCCAACTGAAGGAATGCGGCCCTCGCTTTGCCAATCCTCGTCCTTACATCGGCATCTGATCCTCCTTGCACATCGATGATGCATCCCAGGTATGTGAAGGATCCTACATCTTCCAGAGTTTAGCCATCAAGTGTGATTGGTTTGGTGTTCTCCGTGTTGTATTTGGGGACCTTGGTTTTTCCCTTGTGTATGTTGAAGCCTACTGATTCAGAGACTGCTGCTACACTGACTGTCTTTATCTACACTTGTTGATGTGTATGGGATAGGAAGGCTAGGTCATCTGCGAAGTCCAAATCGTCTAATTGGTTCTGAGCTATACATTGTATGCCATGTTTTCCCTCAGATGTCGAGGTCTTTATAATCCATTTGACTACCAGAAGAAAGAGGAAAGGGGAGAGTGGATAGCCTTGTCTGACTCCGGTCCTTACTTGGAATGCATCTGTCATCTGTCCTCCACGCACAACTTTGTAGTGTAGTCCGTCATATGAGTTCCCTATAATGTCGACAATCTTTTCAGGAACTCCATAGTGTCAAAGAAGTTTTCATAATGTTCTCTTATCTACACTGTCAAACGCCTTTTCATAATCAATGAAGTTGATGTATAGTGACGAGTTCCACTCAACTGATTGTTCGATGATCCGTAGTGTCGCAATTCGGTCTGTGCACGATTGATCCTTACGGAATTCAGTCAATAAATGCCTACTCCACTTGAAATAAGCTATTTTCTTCAATGATTTATCTACTTAGATAGTTATGAATTTCTTAAAAGTTTGTCGTTGGTGTGAGTGAAAATTAAATTTCGAGTTATTGTTCCAACGGTTATTTAATCTCCATCTTCAAAACAAGTTAAATATATATTAACTTTATAGGTTTTAAGGATTTAATTTATCTCAAAATGATGCAGTTGTATAATTAGTCTAGAAGTGGGCAATAAATAGAATCATTTGAATGTTTATTCAAAAGATCCATTAACTTGAATAGTTAAATTTATGAGCCGATATAAGCTAGACCATCAATAAAATCCTGGAACTATTCTCTGATTATGATCATTGTATGATCACTAATGACTGGCTTCAAGAGGTATTTCCTGGAGTTCTATTGAGAAACCGTGACCAGTGAAATTCAATCGGATCTGTTGTGAGATAGTAACTCATTGAAGACAATAGTGGATGTATCGCTGAATTTCGAGGATTAGTTAAAGTTAGACATTAACACCGTTGGATACCGACCGACTCAGTGGTCTAGAGGTGAAATGTTTGCGTGCAAGACTGAAAGGTCCTTTGTTCGGATCAATATCGTGGATGCGCACCGTTGACGAGTTCCCCAATAGGACGAAACTCCTGTCCAATGCTTCCAAGTTTTCCATGTTGGTCTAGTTTCAACTGATTCGTGATCAACGTAACCCCTCTATGATTATAATTTTTTTCTTTTTCCAATATAGAATGAACACCTTAATAAAGAATATGAAACTCTACCAGAAGTAAAGAAACCAATGTAAGTAAGAACAAACTAATTCATATTACCAGATTTGTTTTGTTTCAATTAAATTGGATTATTCATAACAGAATTGATAAATTGATAGAATGATTAACTAACAGTGAATGAAATATTCATTTAATTGGTTTAAGTTATCCTCTTGGCTAATAGTTTGATTGAAGTTTGATCAGTCTTAGTTTGTATATGGGTATCCTGTATAGATTGCTTCGATATAGCCATTATCACACCAGTTTATATAGAATCGATGGAATATAGTTAGGAGTGAAGTTTAGGGCATACATTTTATCATATTTTTAACTAGTTAGAGTGGATGTATATGTATCTTAGAGTGGATCTTCACTTGAGGACTCAAACCCAGTACGTCAACTCTAGTTTGACAAATCTGACAAAATGAATCTCCCGGATTTCATTGCTAGCCACTATTCATCTTTGCTTATACTTCTTGTGAACTGAGGCAATATAGAGGCAGTTCGTACGGGACGCACATATGCCAATAAGAGACTGATCAATTTCAGTCCTAAACATCAATGAGAAGATTCAAGTAAAACAATACCAAGTGAATTTAAACTTCACCCGATGGCACAAGCAAGTCATTATCAGGACTCAGTAGCTAGGTGGATAATGCGAACGGTACTAGGTTCGAGTTCTAGTGTGTGCATTCAAACTGAGATTCAGAGACATCCATCTGATGAGTCTTGAATAGAATGAAAGGCGCAGCCTGTATTCCACTGCTAGCCACCATTCATGCTTGCTTAGAATGCTTATGAATTAAGGCAATATCGAGGCAATATTTACTGATTGAACATATGCTAATAAGAAAGAGAGACTGATCAATTACAGTCCTAAATATCATTAGGAATATTTGAGTACATAATACTAAGTGAATTCAACCTTCAACCTCATTGCACAAGCAAGTGGCTATCAGGACTCACTAACTATGTGAATTACGCAATAGTGTTTCGAAGTGAAAATGGTATTGCGTTCGAGTCCCGGAATGAATATCAACTATGCGAATCAGGTACATTCAGTTCCCAAGTGAAATAACTAACATCAACTCTTAGATGAAGATACATCCATCTGACGAGTCACGACTAGGACGACACGTGCATTCTGGTTTCCATTGGTAGGCACTATCCATCTTTGCTTATAAAGCTTGTGAATTGAGTCAATATCGGAGCGATCCTCACAATATGCACATATGCCAATAAGAAAGAGAGAGAGATTGATGATTTGTAATCGTAAATAAGTGAATTTAACCTTCAACCTATTGCACAATTAAGTGTCTATTAGAGCTCAGTATCTAAGTCATGTTTGAATCCGATTGTTACTGAGGTTCGAGTCCCACAATGAACGTCGATTCTGTGATTCAGTTCCTTCATTCTTCATTTTCTCTTCTCTTCTCTTTTCTTATATATAGATTATCAACTCATAAAGGTATAACTAATAATTATATAACAATCAAAAAATTTACAATTCGTGAAACAACAAATTTATTAAAAACATGGTTAAATAATCATCGTCATAATCCATATCCAACAAAAAATGAAAAAATTAAATTATCTATTATAACTAATTTAAGTTTAACACAAATTTCAACATGGTTTGCTAATGCTAGAAGAAGATTAAAAAAAGATAATCAAATGACATGGATACCAAAAATACGTCATCATAGGATAGTAACTAATTCAATCAATTTAAATAATAATCATAATAAGATACAAATTTGTCAAAAACAGGGTGGTGGTGGTGGTGGTGATGATAATAATAATAATGATAAGGTTAATATGGATCAATTATCACAAACGAAATCTCAATTAAAATCAACAATAATAAGAGATTGTTTAATTAATCCATTCAATACTAATCATCATCATCATCATCTTCATCATTACAACTATCACCACCACCACCATCATCATCATCATCATTCTCCTCATTTGACATCATTCAAAAATCAATTAATTTTGAAATATTTTCTAAATAAAACGACCCAGCAACAAGAAGAAGAAGACGGAGAAGAAGAGCAACAACAACAACAAGAACTACCATCACCACAAGAAGAATGTCTACAATTCAAAGAGAAATTAAATAATAATAATAATGATGATGATGATCAGATCAATTTAACTAATGAAAATTCTATAATCAATAATGATCATAGTAACAATGATTATCATTTATGGTATAATGATTATCATACTAAATTAATCCATATAATCAATCAATTAAATTGTGATAATATGGATCAATATCCATTATTATATGGATCATTATCGAAATTAACTACAAATAATAATACTACTACTACTACTAATAATAATAGTATCATAAAAGATGATCAGCCATCACAATTATGTAATCCTTCATCAAAAATATGGTCAGTTGCTGATGTCATCGATGTATAATTAAATCATAGAAGAGTATTAATGAAATGAACAATGTTCTCTTTACCTTTTTTTGTCTTTTTGTTTCTGTATCTGGGACAATTTGATTACGTAATGTTTGTTAAAATTATTATTATTATTATTATTATTATTATTATTATTATTATTCATAATAATTACATATATGTCTATTATCAGAAGGGGTTTACGGAGATTTTAGAAATTTCACAGATTGAAATCATGAGTCAATTGAAGCTAGACCAACATGGAAGCACTGGACGGCCCTTTCGTCCTAGTATAGGACTCCTCAGCATTGCGCATTCACGTTACCCGTGGAGTTCAACCAGGTCTGTCGTGAGATATCAACTCACTGAAGACAATGGTATACGGTGGTGCAACTTCGTGGATTGGTTGAAGTTAGACATTAAAACCCTTGGATACCGGCTCAGTGGTCTAGCTGGTTAAGCGCTTGGCGCGAGACTGGTAGGTCCTGGACTCGGATCTCGTGAGGTGCGGGATCGTGGATGCGCACTGATGAGGAGTCTCATGCCAGGACGAGACGACCATCCAGCGCGTCCAGGTTTTCCATGGTAGTCTAGCTTCAAATGACTTATGATTTCAATCTGTGAAATATATATCTATTGTAATCATGCAAATGATAATCATATTGTCAATTACATTACGTTTTATTATTGATTCAGTCTGGACAATTTAGTGTTAACTAATCAAATTGATTAATGATTATGATATAACATTTACTTTCATTAATGATATATTTAATGATGGATGAAATATTTGTTGAAGAATGGTAAAAAAGAAACGCTGATGATGATACCAGCAATAATAACTTACAATTGTAACTATGTGATTAGATTGTATATTTGTATGATCTAAGTAAAATATGTTCCTGTTTGGTTGTACAACGAAGGTAGTTAGAAGTTCTATACTTGGACATCTTACTTACTTGCTTACTTATTTACGTCTGTTACTCCAAATGGAGCATAGACCATCGATTAGCATTCCCTAACCCTTTCTGTCCTTAGCCTTCCTTTCAAGTTCTATCCAATTGTTGTTCATTCTTCATATGTCTGTCTCCATTTCTTGGTGTAATGTATTCTAATCGACTGAAAACATTTTGATTTTATGATTGTATATATGATTTGTTTAAATCTATCTAGATTTCATCATATCCAACGCCTAAAAATAAACGAAACTCTTACCATCTATGAGATCAAGCCAGAACAATGCCTATAAAAGAAGTATGTCCTATCATTATCATTAACTTGACCTTAATTATTATTATTATTGCATTTCCCCCATTGACTTAGACAACATATTCTCATGATTTTATTCATCATTATTCATGATATTACTTTATTGAATTTTATACACCACTATGACCTTTAATGACCTTGAATGACCTTCAATGACCTTGAATGATTGTAACAAAAACAGTTAAATCATTTCACTACATTTATGTTCTCATTCGTTACTAACTTATTAATTCTATAGGTTATCATTCGTATTACATAATCAAGTATTATAATCTTTCTATTACATCATCTTGATTATTTCTTGTTTATATTTCCTCATGTTCACATATATATTGATACGATTGTACAGCTTGATACTAAATTCATTGAATACAGATCCCTTCACTGAACTTGGTGTTTTCATATTCAATACTAGACATTGTTACAGAGTTGCAAACAGTTCATTTAATATCTCCAAACATTAAGATAGATGGTGGTTAAAGGTAGTCAACAGGAAACCTTAGACTTACCTTCAACTATCATCTTATCTCAACATAGTACATACAATGTCGAGTCATCTAGACTGGTGACCACATTGCAATATGATCGATAGGATTCGATCTACACTAAAAAGAACCTGACATACATGACAATGATCATCACCTAGTGATTAATCAATTGTAAATCTCCAAATACTATTCATAGTTATCATATAGAAAATTTAATGTTTTATTGTAAATCTTTATATAATCAATCTAGTGCCAAGCAGTGACCAATGGAGTTCAACCAGGTCTATTGTGAGATAGTAACTCACTGAAAACATTGGTGGATGTGTCATTGAATTTCGTGGATTAGTTAAAGTTAAACATTAACAGAATTGGATACCGGCCAACTCAATGGTCTAATGGTTAAGCGTTCGAGACTAATAAGTCTTGAGTTTGAATCTCGCAAGGTGGAGTTGGGGATGGATGAGTGAATTTCGTGCCAAAATCCAAGACCTTCTCTCTTATACGTGATTGGTTCGTCTATAAATTATGATCTCGCCGTTGGAATGTAATAACTTCAATATTTATAGACAGGTTTTTCGGTTTGTGCAAATTATACAATTCCAAATTACACTGTATTACATTTTAGACAGGAGTTTTACATATAAAGTTACTAATTATGTTCTGAACTCTATAGATAGTGAATTGGAATATTTCTATTCTGATGAGTGAATGTGTGGTGTGTGCTACTTATATCAACATGAGTAGTATATAATGATAGTCAAGATTAGAATGTCTGGCAGCAGAAGCTCAAGAAGATCGGGAACATGAAGTAAATGGTATGGAAGTGCAGGAACATTGATTTCTGAGACAATTGATTAACATTTTGCAAATGAATTATTTACTGTATGGTTCCCAGATTTTACTGAGAGATTCTGTAATTTTGTGTCCAATTACATTTGGTTGTTCCCACTGTGTGTTCTCATTCACTACAAACGTTATAAGTTATGAAGATACATAATTTTATACATCTTTTGTCAGACTTTACAACCAGTCACAAGTAGAATTACATAATTTAGGTACAGGGTTTGATGTTCAGTAAGAACATTAACACTAGGAACCGTGTGCATGCAACTGACTAGTCACAGGGCAGTGCCAGACTGTGTTACTAACTACAGTTATCAAAATGTTAAATTAAAATTGTTTGGCACCGTGAATTGATTGGTGTCAGACCACTATTGAAAACCTGGATGCACGTAGCTGAGGAGTCCCACGATGGGACGAAACGGTCGTCCACTGCTTCCAAGTTTTCAATGGTGCTCTAACATCAATTGGTTCATGATCTCAATCAATAACTTGAAAATATTCACAGCCCTATACTGAAAATTAAAATTGACATCTGAATGATACAATATAGTTCAATATTATCTGCGTTTAGTTTCCTATCATTTAGTTGCATCTCTAAATCTTCCCCCACATTCTGTAGTCCAATTCAGTCAGTGTAACATTTTCATAGTTATTTCAGTTCATATATGAAGATAAAGAATATAATGGCAACAATAAGTTTCAAGTTAAAATCTGAACGCTCATGCTTAAAACCAATATTTCGGGCTGGACTATCCCAGCTAGAAGGATACGAAGGTGGATGCTATGAATAAGTGAATAATTGGTCTGATCCGAATGACTCCCTCATATTTGCATCCGAGCTGTCATGAGGCTTAGAGATATTGTACGAATTGTTTGGCTTTACTTTGAATATTATCTCGCTTTATTAAAAAGAATGTATTCCTCATTAGATTCAACTTCATTAATTGAAGTATGAACACAAGGTTCTTCTTATAACTAATTAGGTAGTATGAAATTCTGTTTCATTATACATGACATAGGGGCAGTGAAATGTAACTAAGCCCTAGGCAAATCATCACCGAATATCGAACAGATCATCGATCCCTGTCAAAGTAAAGGACAACCAATGCGCATCAGTTAATCGTATGCTATGAACTGGCGCATGCGGTGGTGGTTTCACTATCTTCTCTGTACTCATTCTTACTAATATATTTTCCTAGTAATAAGATCATCATCGGGGGAAGTATGGGATACAATGAACAGCTTGAATGCAGATAGACGATTTCGTCTATGCAGATGACCTAACTTTTTTTATCCCATACACATAAACAAATGCAGATGAAGATAAACAGTATAACAGTAGCGTCTGCAGTAGTGTGGTGTGTGCTACTGATATCAACAGATATAATTAATAGGTATCATTAATAGAAAGTGATCTACCTAGCGGCAGAAGGTTAACAAGATCGATGAAAAGAGAACGAGAACAGAGAATGATTGGTGTGGAAACAAATGAACAATGAAGTCTAAGATGAACGAGTGATATTTTGCAGAAGGAATAGTCATGTTTGAGACAATTGTTTGACATTTCGCTAATGAAGTATTTACTATATGGTTCTCAGATTTTACTAAGATGTTCAGTAATTTTGTGTTCACATACATTCGATTGTTACCACTTGTGTTCGCGTTCACTATAACAGTGGACTTCAAAATACACAAGGGAAAAATCAAGATCTTCAAATACAACACAGATCGTACAAGCACAATTACACTTGATAGATAAGCTTTGGAAGAGGTGGAAACGTTGAAATATCTAGGAAGCATAATCGATGAACTAGGAGGATCTGATGGAGACGTGAATCCAGTGATTGGCAAAGCAATAGTGGCACCTATAGAGTTGAAGAACATATAGAACTCGAAACAACTGTCAACTCTGACGTCCTTGATCTATCTAGCCTCTTTGTGCAGAGGATACTTGTCTAACCTAGATTAAGGCCTTGACGCGATAGGTCAACTGGTTTAACCTTGAGGCTAGTATGCGTGAGTTCGAAGTGAGACCTACGGCTTGCGGTAGAGAGCGACAAAAAGTATTCTATCACCTGATTGGCTGATAAGCACGCGAATGAAAGAAGACAAGCCAACTGGAACACTACTCGATTTATTCTCAATTCCGATCTGGTTCTCGACTTTCCGATTTCAGATCATTGTAAAAAGAGACATGAATAAATAAATGACTAACCTGACCACAACGTACAATTATTAGGAAAATACAATTATATCAACTACTGGGGATTAGTGTAGAAAATAGAGTACAAAATAATACGTTTCAATAACAATAGCTTTAGAACAAAAGGGGCTATGGCAGTGAATCATACATCAAACGAAAGCTTATGATATGTAGAATAGACTAGGGACGAAAATAAATATTACTGTTTTATGA